CCAGCTCCACCGCCACCGACCCCAGCCCGCTGCAGGGAAGGCACCCACATCAACGAGCTGCCTGCTCCCCACCAGCCCACGGAGGGGGGCTGTCCATGGACAGCCGGGGCTCCCCAGGGCATCTGCCCCCAGGGAGCAGCACCCGCCAACAGCAGAGCTCAGGGGTTTGGGGCTGGCGAGGGTCTGCGATGCCCCTCGGCACTGTGCGAAGGGAGCACCCAGCCCACCCCTGGTCCCCACACGGCCTCACTCACCATGAGTGGTAGAGGTTGAAGATGAAGTCGGGTCCTGGGGAGGGGGGAAGGAGAGGTGTCAGAGCCATGCGAGGGCATGAACTCTTTGCTTTGCTGTGAGTCTGTAGCAGCATGAGGACGGGCAGGACAGCCAGCCGCACAGGGACATCCCTGTGCATCCCCCTCCTCAGCCTCTGCATGCCCCCAGCTTGCCCCCGAGCCCCCCTGCATGGTTCTCCAGACAGCCAGCCGCACAGGGACATCCCTGTGCATCCCCCTCCTCAGCCTCTGCATGCCCCCAGCTTGCCCCAGAGCCCCCCTGCATGGTTCTCCAGCCCCCGCGGGCCAGCAAATGTCAGGCGTGTTCCCCACATCCCGCCCCGCAGCCCTAGTCTTCCGCACCCTCCCACTGCCCAACCCCTTCTCCGCCCGTACTCACGGCACCAGCACTGGCCCCTCTGGTACCACCTGATGAAGGTGTAGCCTAAAAGCACCAGGATCAGCAAAGCCAGCCCGACACCCAAGACAACCCCCAGCACGTTGATGGGTTCTTGCCCTGCAAAGCAGAAGGAAGAGGGGCTCTGCGGACAGACGCCTCCAGGAGGCCAGGGGTTCTGATCATGCCCCACTGGGGACAGGTCTGCCATGGGGCTGTGATGTGTCCCTCACTCCCTGCTGTCCCCCTCCCCAGATCCTGCAGCCTCCCTGCACAGTCCCATCTCTGGGCAGGCAGTTCCCTCTAGAGGATGCTTGTGCCTGGGCAAGCTATCCTCAGGGCTGGGAGCCGGCTGTGGCCAACAGGGCTGGCG